CCGCCGGTCGCCTTGGGGGCATTCCAGACCCTTCGGCCCCGCGCCCGCGGGATCCCGGAGCATCCCCGTGCGTAGTGCGTAGTGCGGCGTGCGGCGGCAGGCAGACCAGTCCAGAACCCGCGCCGACCAGTCGCGTTGCAGGCGTAACGCGTCTCTCCACCCTCACCCCGGGGCAGCCGTCGGGACGTCAAGCGGTCTTCCCCCAGCATCGCCAGGCGAAGTCGTGGTGCTGGTCAAGAGTATCTTCTCTTCATACAAGGTAGGTTGGGTTCTAGACCACCAGGAGGCACGCTTGGGCTGGCCCAGCGCTCTGCTCCCGCTGTACTGTAATTACCCCTGACCGTATCCTTGCAGGTCATGGAGGAGCTGCTGGATGATGTGCTGCTGATGGTGATGAGCTACCTGGACGTGCCGGACCTCCTCGCCTGCCGCCTCGTGTGCAAGAGGATCGGCGACCTGGTCCTGCACCCCGACGTATGGCGACGTCGTTATTTTGTCTTCGGTTCGTCGCGGGATGAGGACAGCACTGTGCTGCGGTTCGCGCCGCGCCTGGAATATCTTTCCATTCAGCTGCCGTGCTCGTCGCGTCAACTGCATCTGTACACCGCGACGATGTGCGCCGTGTCTGAACTCAAGTTGTGTTTGGGTCCAATGGGCAGCGCTGGTATGGCGTACGCCGCTGCGCTGATCATCCGTAATCAAGAGTCGCTCGGCCGCCTCCAGGAGCTAGAGGTGGATTTTTATCCGGAACGGGGCGGCGCCGCCCTCACTTACCCGCTTCTCTGGGCGCTGGCGTACACCTCCGGGCTGCGCACGCTCGTTGTCTACACATCCGGCGATATTTGCGACATGATCCCCGCGCCCTATTTGGTCAGAAACGTGCCTCGCCCGACACTCAAGAGCATTCACTTTACCATCTCAGAAGAGGCGGTCCCCTTCTGTGAATTCATGTTGGCCGCCCACGCCCCCACCTTGGAGAAGGTAAATTTCCACAGCTGCGTCGACTTCTTTACACCGGCTCTCCCTTCGGCCACCTCGATGGCTTCCCTGCTCGCAGGAATGCCACATCTCCGCTTGCTGGAAGACTGTCCCCTCATCCCGGAAATGGAGGCTTTGGCGGCGTGCAAGTCGCTACGGACTGTGTCTATCTGCGTGGGGGTCGGAAGCCGACCTCTTGTGCCGGCGGGCGCGGAGTTCCTGCGCCGTACCAAGGAGCTGCGCCATGTCACCCTGAAGTACAACGCCGACATCGGCGACGTCGGCGTCGATCTGGTCCTGGCCCTAGGCTCCTCCGTGGAATCGTTACATATTCAGTTTACAGAACTATACCTCGAGAAAGCAATGCCCCAGGTGCAGGCGCTCAGCAGGGCCCTGCCACGGATGCCGGCCGTGAAGTGGCTGACGCTGCCCATGACATCGCGTGAGGTGCTGCTGGCCATCACGCCCGAGGCGAACCCGGCCCTGCGGACCTTGGAGCTGTACCAGGGAGAACTGGAAAGTGAGGGATGTGCCCACCGTTACTTGCACTGGGACTCGGTGGTGACCGTTTTGTCCAAGAACCCTTTGCTAGAGCTAGGCGTTCATGCAACTTACAGGTGCTCAGGAAAGTTGCTGTGCGACTGGTGTAAACTCGAGTGCCACCGAGAGGTGTGGAAACTGGAACAACAAGTCAGGCCCTGGCCTCGTATGATCACTATTCCTCGTCTAAAGTAAGTGTAGAAGGGTTAAATGTGGTCGTTTAGGTGCATAGCTGCATTCGACCTCGATTTTTTTTTCAATGTGTTTCGTCTTATTGACTTAAATTATAACTCTTTGTTGATTATTCAATAGGCCGTTCTGATTTTAATAACAACAGAACAGAACATGCAGGGGTGATTTGAAGTCAGCCTGACCTTAGGGGGAAAAGAGGGGGCATCGACCCCCCACCCCCCTGATATCCAACCGTTACAGATGATATTGTCACGTTTAAAAATTTCAGCAAGGTCCATGTACCGTATTGGAGTAATTGTATTATTGTATTGACAAGAACTATGAGTTTACTATAGATTAATGGATGCAGTTATTATCTGAGCGCTAAACTTATTATTCAAAATGTATCTTAGCTATTAAGCTATATTAT